TCTGAATCATGGAATCACAAAACTTTAGAATGATTTGTGTTGGAAAGGACTTCAAAGGCCATCCAATCCACCCCCCTGCCATGGGCAGGGACACTTTCCACTGTCTCAGGTTGCTCCAAACCCAGTCCAACCTGGCCTTGGACATTTGCAGGATGGAGCAGCCACAGCTGCTCTGGAAAACCTGTGCCAGGGCCTCGTCACCCTCACAGGGAATCATGTTTTCCTCATGTCTAATCTGTACCTGCTCTCTGTCAGTTTGAAGCTGTTCCCCCTTGATCTGTCACTCCAGAGCCTTGTCCAAAGTCTCTCTCCAGCTCCCTGGTCAGTGACCTACAAGTTCTTGAACTTGCACCACCAACCCTTGGGTGGAGCTGAACACCTTGGCCCCTCTCAAAACCCTCACAGCATTGGGAATCTGATGGGTTAATGGGATGGACTGAGTGTGTTACAGCAGTTACGGGTTTTCATAATCTGGCAGATTGTGAAATTATGAAATTATGGCAGAATGGGGCCGGGATCAATCCAGCAATTGCTGTTCCACTTGACTTCAGCAGTGTCTAGCAATGCTCAAGCTGTGTTTCCTAGTGACTTGCTTCCTTCTGATCTGGGTCTCCTTCCTTCCCATGGACATTCCCAGAGGTTAACCAGTGTAATCAGCAAATACATTTGTTTGTCTTCTCCAATAGGAAACCTGACATTCTCCTCCCATTCCAAAGAGGGGGAGAGCCAAAGGAAGGCAAGGCAACAAGCTGGGGTTAACTCAAGGTGCTATAACCACTTTCAGGGCCCTTCTGTTCCAGCTTTTTGTGTTTTGTCCCTTCTGTTGGTGCTGTGTGGAGAGTTCTCACAGCACAGATGCAGGGGATCAGAGGCACTCCCTTGCACTAGGGCATGGTGATGGCTTTTCAGCACTCAGCTGAGGCATCAGAGCTGTGTTGTGATGGGCAGAGTCACCATCTGGAGAGGCTTTTCCTCCACTCAGGGGAAGTGTGGAGCAATGGGATCCCAGCACGGGCCGTGTGCCAGGCCAAGGTGTGGAGAGCAGCTTGACAGGCAAAAAAAGGGGGTTTTCTTCAATTTCTTTTTATGACCTAAGAGTGAAAGTACTGCAAGTCAGTAAAAACATTCCAGAAAACAGTTACTTGAGTTGATGGTGCCTCTATAAATAGTGCAGCATTTTGGAATGAGGCACAACAGAATTCCCCACCAGTGCAACAGTTTTATTACCTGTAAATGGGATGTGGTGCTCTCTCACCTGTCCAAACCTGGGGATCAAGTCCTGCCTCGTAAGAAAAATTATTATTTGTTTTTCCAGCAGGCACATTCTTGTCCTCCCATCACCATGAGGGCTGACAGAGCATCACTGGGCTCTGCTCACACAAATCCATGTGTTACCAATCCAAAAGGAGGTTCATTGGCAGGGCTCAGGGGACACCTTGCCAAAAACCTGGCCAGGGCATTAGAAGTCATTCACTTTTTTTTTCTGAGTTTATTTTGAGATGGATAGTATTCATCCCTGAATGGTAAATCCCCACTGCTGTGAAAGCTTCTATCTTGTGTAATATTTACTAGATGTTTGGCCATCCAAGCTATTTCTTTGTTTTGCCAGACAGGGATGAGCTAATAACATTTCCTGTCCTTAAAAGCCCTTTTAAAGCCACAGTTGATATCATATTTTATTTTGCTTGGCTGGAAGGAGTTAGATTACTTTTAGTGCAGTCACATTTTTATGTACTTCCAGAAATGAAGTGGCTTAAAAGGACTCCCTTGGGATCAGCCAAGGGCTTAAGGAAGAATATAATTTTGTTGGTAAAACCAAAAAAAACATCACACAGACCGCTGAGGTCCCAGGGTGGAGCCTCTCTGGCTCCTGCCCTGCTTGCTGCATGTCCTGCTGTGTCATCCACATGTGCCTGGGGCACCTGCAGGAGCAGGTATTTGCTGATCTCACCCAGAAATGGTATTCAGACTTCACACTTCTGCATCATGTGTGTTTTGTGTGTCTGTGGAGAATCCCCTTCTTGCATCTGTGAGAAGATTCAGCCATGCTGAATTTGCAGCATTACAAGATGGAAATCTGTAAATGTTGAAAGGTTTAAAAATGTCAGTGAAATAATCTTTAGCATTTTGAAGAATCTGATGAAAATTCAGGTTGTAACGGGAAAATCTGATCATTGTTGCAGTTGGCTGATTGGTCCACCCTGCTCTTCACACTGACATTTAAGACCTGGGTAATTGAAAGGCAAACTTGGATGTGAGTGTCAATATGACCCATAGACTGAGTATCATTCTCCCAAGTAGGGGGCATGTCAGGTCATCAGTTCAGGGTGTTTTTCCTCAAGTTGCTGTGTTACAGCAGCAGACACAAAGATCCTCATTTTGAAGGTATTTATGAAGTCCTGGTGCCATTATAATTCCATTTTATGTACTCACCAGGAAGCCAGGAGAATATTAGCCAGAGCTAAAGTGCTTTGTCCAGCCAGGGAGTACTGAGAGCTGGGTATAGAGGCAAACTTTGATAAAACAGAGCAGAAAATTTGTTTATCCTTCTCCAATCTTTCCTAGTTTGAATCCACTGGTACCTTAGCAAGGTAATGATGGAACACTTGGAATTTCCAGGTGTAAAAAAAGTAAGTGATGCACAGACCCAAAGTGCTGACCTGACACGTGGGTGGGAAGACATTCTCACATTCCCATCCTCTCTTGCTGGCTGAGATCTGATGGTTTGTCTTCTCTTTTAAACACAAACATCCTCAAGCAATTTGGGTGAAAAGAAAAGTACAAATGTTTTAGTCTTTTAAATCAGTTGCCAGTCTTAACAGGAACATATAGAAAGCCAGCTTGAAAAGCCTGGCATGGAATAAAAGGGTACAAAGAGAAATGTGCAGTTGTGATACAAGAGGACCCAAACTTCAAGCTGACATATGTTTTGCAAATCAGCAAAAGAGAAAGCTTTAATTGAATCTTAAATTAGTTTAAAATGTCAGTAACAGAGAAGTGGGTGATGCTTGCAGCAACCTGGTCTAGTGGAAGGTGTCACTGACCATGGAAGGGGCATGGAATGAGATGGGCTTTAAGGTTCCTTCTAACCCAAACCAGTCTGGAATTCTGGGATTCTGCAAGGTGCCGATGGCCAAACAGCAGAGGAGGTGGTAAGGTAAAAATTAAAGATGCTGACAGCTTGCATACAAGGCAGGACAGGAAAAACCAACTGTTTGAACACTGGGGTTGTGGGGGCTGACAAAATTGCTCAAACTGTCAGGTCATACACTGGTCTCATGTTCCCAATGGTCCTAATGAAGTGGGAACCACTGAGGGTATTTTGATTAGATGTTGTATGAAACTGGGATTTGTTTTTGCTGAAGGATTCACTCTGCCCCACAGTTCTGAAGAAGGATTTAGAAAAGGAAGTTATGAGCTAAAAAAAGAGAAATAGGGCAGGCTTTTGCCTGAACAGTAACTGAATTATAATTGTGTTGAATGTACTTTTTTTTTTTTTCTTTTGTAAGGGGTACATACCACCTTTTATGTCTTGCACTAATATTTAAGTGTATATATATATATATATATATATATATATATATATATATATTCTGATGCAATAGTTAATATTTCTATAGCATCTGTGATTATCTTCAGAGGGCTATTCTCAAAATATCTACCCTTTTCCTTGGTCCTGATGGTGATTCAGGCAGCTTATTTTTGGGCTAGATAGTAGTGTAACTATTTTTAAATTATTTTAACTGTTTATTATAAAAATGCTTTCCCTTTCCAATTTCACCATCCTGAGTAAATGAAATTTAATATTGACCTCTAATGTCCTGTGTTGTGTCATTTCAAAAGCAGCATTTAGCAGTGGCTCGAATTCCTGAGCTCTTTTTCCCTCAACACAAGCAGGTATTTTTCGTGGTTTAGCTCCCTGAATTTTAAGGAAACAAGTACATGGAGCTGTTATTTATAAGAGCTTGTCTAATCTATTGCTTCTTTTGGTGATAAAACCATTTCAAGTGACAAATCTTTTGATGGCTAGGGTGATGCTGCAGATTACCTTTCACACAGAGGAATTAGAGGTTGCAGCCAAGTCCAGCAATGGGTTAGGACACGATTCCCACTCATCTTCCTTCAGAGGAAACAAATCCCACCTTGTGCTGAGGTTCTGTGGCACCAGAATCATCCCAGTCCCAGGCACACAGAGCAGAACTGGGACCCTGCTGCTTTGCAGGGGTGGAAGTGAGCACCCGGCGTGCGAGAAGGCAGAAACCAGGGTTTGCGTATCAAAACAGAATTAAATGTGCAGTGCAGGATGCCTGTGCAGTTTCCATGGAATCAGCAGGCTTTCCTGGGAAGTCAGTAGCAGAAGAGCAGCATTCAGGGCATACTCATGGCATGGTTCCTGCTGGAGTTGCCATCCCACCCCTCTGCTCTTCCATCCAGCTGTTCGCTCCCATCTGTCGGCTACGGAGAAATTATGGCTCCTTCCAGAGGAGGGAGAAATGTGCTTAACCATGTTCTGCCAGTTAGGGTGCTGTAAAATATGTCAGACCTTCAATATATTATGTAGAACCTGATCATGGACACCAGCTAGAAAAGTTGGAGCCAATCTGGTACAAGATGCCAGAGCATACTGCTCCAGGCTGTGGTTGAAAGTTCCTGAATTTACCTTGCTGTGAGCAGATACTCTGTACTTTATTTAAAAAGAAAAAAAGCAGCAATCTTGTGTTCCTAACATGGCTTTTTGTGAGGGTGTTGAATGGATCTGGTTGTTCACAGTTAAATCCTGCCTTTCCTCGACCTTGGAGATAGCTACATTACCTTTACAGGTAATTTCCTGCAAGCTTATTAATTGACTGTGAAGGTCAGATATGGCAAATTGTCACATTATTGTGGGTATAGTCATTATTGTCCTGAAACTCCTTTGAAGTCCAGAGACCCAGGAGGATCTGCCCAGTGTAACTGAGCACATTTGTAAGTGTGGATCTAAGTTCCTTTCTCTTTTTCAGGGTCTGAGTAAAAAAGTTGGGGTATCTTCCTCCATCCTGCAAGGGCTTTGGATCTCCTACAGTACTGAAGGTCTTTCAATGGCGTTGGCATCTCTGAGAAATCTCTACACCCCAAACATAAAGGTACTGGAGGAGGAGGTGGAGAGCTGGGGGGTTCAGAATTCACTGGAGCCATGTCCAGTGTCCTGGCCAGGCTGAGCAGCTTGCTGGGTGTTTGTCCTGAGCTGAGGAGAGGCCTTCAGTCAGTTGAGATTTTTTTACCATGTGAGGTAGTCTGTCAACTCCGCTACTTTGTCAAAGGATCTCGTTTTCATTGCAATGAGCAAATAGTGAGTTTGGGCCTGTGCAAAATGGGATTTTCCCTTCCCAGAGATGTGGAATGCAATAACTGATGTTGGAACTTGGCGTGTAAAGGGCTCTGGCTTAGATAGGCATGAACTCTGAGGTGGCACCAAATCCAACAGCACATGTTCATGTCCTGGTTCAGGCACTTCTTTTGCAGTGGTGAGGTGAGTGTATTGACTTAGCCGAGCCCATCTCTACAGCAGAAAGTATTTCACACAGAGATACAGATTTGGAATTGTTTTCTCACATGGGAGGATGTTTATCCCAGGTCCTTCCCACCCAGGCAGGGTGAGCTCAGTGTCTGTCCCCATGTCCCTTCCTTGTCACTCTCGAGCATCAGGTGCTGGCTTTTCCACTGGTGCCAAGGGCAAAGGGAGCCAGACCAACCCTGGAGAGGAATCCCATGGGAAGAGTGCTGAGTACAGCTCTCTCCAGCTGTGTGTTTTAATTCCCCATCCCCTCCATGTCCCCAGATGCTGGAGCAGGGCTGGAGTGGCTGTTCCAAAACAAAGGGTGGTGGCACCTTCAGACCACTTCCTAGCCACTGGGGAAATTATTAAACTGCTCCATCTGCATCAAATGGGAACATCTTTTGGGCAGATATTTTTGCTCAGCATTTTATGTCCTTTGCCATTTGTTTGGAGATGTGTAGAGGGTTTTTGCTGTGGTGTCACCCTGGCAGTAAGCTCCTGTCTCTCTGTAAAGCTCAGCCTAAGGCTCTCCTTCCTTGCGCAGGTCAGTCGGCTGCTGATTTTAGGAGGCGCAAATGTCAATTACCGGACGGAAGTTCTGAACAACGCCCCCATTTTGTGTGTCCAATCTCACCTGGGGTATGCAGAGATGGTGGCCTTGCTCTTGGAGTTTGGGGCCAACGTTGATGCTGCTTCTGAGAGCGGCCTGACCCCGCTGGGCTACGCGGCTGCCGCCGGCTTCCTGAGCATCGTGGTGCTGCTGTGCAAGAAACGGGCCAAGGTAAAAGAGCCGCGTTGCTCAAAAGCTGATCTCAACTGCTCCATGTTTGCTCAAGCTGGGTAGGAGCTGCAGGCAGGACATGGAATACTTGCTATGGAGCATCCTCCAGCAGATGAAGCCAGGAGGCTGCTTTTGGTGTTGGTTTTATTTTGGTTTTTTTCTGCTAAAATGTAGTGGGTTTACAAGCCCCACATTGACACCAGCTCCTGAGAGTCAGTAATTGGTGTCTGGAATTCAGGTCTGAGGTAGGAGCTGCCTTGTGACTCTGCACTGGTGACCTGCATAAGGATGTTCTGGAGAAATCCTTGAACTTCACAAGGTTAAAATGGCAACGCTGCTTTTCCAGCACAAAACATTCTTTAAATATCTCCCTGAGACACATTCTCCTAAAATTTTCATCAGACTTGTCCTAGAAAAATCCGCTTTGTTTAGCTTTGTGATGAGTGGAGTTTTAATTGTATATTATGAGTCAAGTCAAAATACTTTGTTGAAGAAGAAAATTATGTTGATTTTTGAAGTGGAGCCTCCTGGAAACAATTTGTGGCTTCTCTATATCTTTAATTTTAGTTCAAAAGGCAAAATATGGGTTTATGTAGTTTTGGTATGGATGTCAGGATGACTGAGGGACTGTTTAGATCTTGCTGGGTTGTGTTGTCTGTAATAATGTGAGGACGGTATGAAGGAAAAAAAGTAATTTTGCTTTTGTTGGATATTTTGAGAGAATTTAGTGATGTGAATCCTGCCACTCGTAGTTTTCCTTGAATATCCCTAACATACTGAGAAATACCCCAAAACACAGTTTGGTGTAGTTTGAAGACTAAGATATTTGCAGAAAATTCCAATACTGATTACTGAAGGAGTTGAAAAAAGAGAAATATTGATATATTATTAATGTGAATATGTTATAATACATTAAATATTTCTCATATGTATTATATAACTGTAATTTAGTGTCAGGCCCTGGAACAGGTTCCCAGAGAAGCTGTGGCTGCCCCTGGATCCTTACAAGTGTCCAGGGCCAGGTTGTAGTATTTCAATGCACAAGAAAATTTGAATGTTGGTCTTCAGGACACAACGGAAAAAATATTTTTGTAGTCTTTGAGTTTTTGAAGAAAATTGGAGAAACCTAAAAAAAAACAAAAAAAAAATTATATTTTCCCCAAAGTGAACATTTGTGGCCAAGGTAATGCCAGAGCCTGGGACATTGCTTTGGAAGTGTTTGTTTTCTGGTCATGGAAGTGATAGTTTACCAGGAAAACGCACATTTTGCACATGTGGCGTTGCTTTGAAACAGGGATTGGAAACTCTGAAAAAGCAAAGATGGCCTTGCTCATGGTTTTGTTTAACTGTATCTTTTTACCTCTTTTCAAGGTGGATCATTTGGACAAAAACGGGCAGTGTGCCCTGGTCCATGCTGCTCTCAGGGGACACCTGGAGGTGGTGAAGTTCTTGATCCAGTGCGACTGGAGCATGGCTGGACAGCAGCAGGGAGTGTTCAAGAAGAGCCACGCCATCCAGCAGGCCCTGATTGCTGCTGCCAGCATGGGCTACACCGAGGTAGGACCTGCTCTGCCTCTGCAGGGAGGGAAACCAAGGCTTGGCCTTTTGCTGCCCACTCACCAGAGAACGTCTGGAGGTAGAGTCCAGGGCACTTCTGTCCTGCTCTTCCTCCCTGTCCCATCCCAGTGTTCACAGATCCCTGTGGTCTGGGCAGGCATCCAGGAGAGGAAGGATAACGAGCCTTTAAGTTGTCAGAATAAACTTTATAATAAACTTTTAAGCAGGGATAAGATGGATGGACGCACGTGGCCTACACCGCTCCTCCAGCACCGATGGGGAGTGTGAGAACGTGTAGCTTTGGGCTGTGTGTCGAGGGAGAGAAGAGACAGAGAGCTTCCTCCTGCCATCCTGACAAAGATTTATGGTGGGGAAAATTATATATAGAATACTTGAGGTTGGAAGAGACCATTAAGGTTATTTGAGTCTAAGTGTTAACGCAGTGCCAAGCCCACCACTGCCATTAGTACTCCAAAGAGCCCCAGCAACCCCCAGTTCCTTCTCCTTTACTTAAGAATGAGTTTCTTTCCTACTAAATACCTCCTCTCAGCCTCATCTCCTCTAGGAGATGCACCCATTGCACATACCAGGTCATCTCCAACAGAACAGACACATTCACAGGGAACTGACCTTACCAAGTCTCATGTGCCATCATATCAAGACACTTGGTAAAGTGTTTTTTGTACAGGGCCGCAAGTACAGGCTTGTACAGGGCAGCAAGTTCAGTGATTAATCTCAGGAAGAATATTTCCTTGATGTCAGGGTGCCAGGCAGAGACTGTTCCCTTCCCTCTGTGTATTACAAGCAGCTGGTGTGATGGTGTCAGCAGTTCCTCTATAACACATTCGAGTTCATGATCTGACATCATTTTGTTTTAGATCGTCTCCTACCTGCTCGATCTTCCAGAAAAAGATGAAGAGGAGGTGGAGAGAGCACAGATCAACAGCTTTGACAGCCTCTGGGGAGAGACAGGTGATTTCTGTAGGAGCTGTAGCTTCCCTTCCCTTCCCTTCCCTTCCCTTCCCTTCCCTTCCCTTCCCTTCCCTTCCCTTCCCTTCCGCCAACCACAACTGAGCAGCCTTTTGTCTACATGAAACAAGTCTGTAAATTCATATGAAACTCAAGACTCCCTTTCACATAACTGTATTATTTATTTCCCCAAAAGTAAATAGAGAGTTTAAATAAATTTGGAGAGAAATGCAGGTTTCCACCTAAAAATAGCAGTCTGCTCTGAAAATCTGAATCCTGGCTTGTCTGAGTTTTGGTACTTGTTGCTCATGTCTCATCTTGCACAGAGCAGAACCAAATGCCTGGCTCAGTGATATCAGCCTGATATCATCCAAATGGCAGTGCCAAGTGACATCATAAGTTTAGGAATTGCTGACAGCACACTGTAGCCAATTCCAGATGGAGCATTTCCCCCTGGGACAGAGCTAACATCAAAACCCAGCAGAAAAGTGTCTGAGTCACTTATGCTATCTCCATCAGAGTTGGAAGTGCAAAAAACATCTCCATCAAACTGTTTGTCTTGCTGCCAGGCTGTGAAACAGATACACGTGCTGGATAGGAGCAGTTTAATGATTCCTTCTCCAGATGAAGTTGTTTTTTTCTACAAGAAAACACAGCAGCAGAAACAGAATACACTCTTGCAGATCCCTGGTGTATGAGGCCGTGGTTTGACATTGCTCACTGACAGAGATGGGCACATCCACGCCTGAACCTGGTCTCAGGCTCTGTTTGAGCCCTTTTGAGAAACACAGCAGTTGTTGTGTGGTGTTTATGCCAGGACTTGGTTATTGCACAGTGAGTGGTCCTTCTGGAACTACATCCTCATGGAAAAGCTGCACAATTCTTGTTCACCAGTGCTGGATCCTGGTTGCTGCTCCTTGGCTGTGCTCAGTGGACTCACCTTGGTTGTGCTGGGCCATGGGAGCTCTCCAGCAGACTGTGAAACTTCAAACCAGCCCATTTTCACCCTCTTTCCTCTCCTGGAGGAGCAAGGTCTGGCTGCTCAGTGGTGCAGGAGCTTTTGAGCTTCCCTTGAGCTGCACTGCAGATGACAGGCTGGAGCCACATACACACTCCAGTTGCTTGGACCTTGAGGAACAGAGCAGCAAAAAGATGTGTCACTACAGGCAGAAGGAATTGCAAAGGAAGGTAGAGAAATAGTGGATCAAATCATCCTGTTTCAGTAATGTCTTCTCCAAAGAACAAACACCAAACACTGGAGTGATTCACAATATTTTCATTGTTGCAAACATAAGTAATTTTGATGTAAAATACCTCAAATTAACCTGCAACATTTTGAGTGCAGGCAGGCTTAGGAGTGGAACCCAGCAGCCCTGCATGCCAATCCCTCTGCCTCCTTCTATATTTGTAGCTTACGTTTAAAACCCACATGGATCTGATTATAGATTTTGCAGAATGTTCTGCTTGTGGCAGCAAAATGATTTTTCATTTAACTCTTGGTGTCTCTCAACCCCAAGAGAAGAAAATTCAGCCATAATATGGAAGAGAATTGAGAATTAATTAAATCCCCCACCATTAACAGTGTTGCAGTTGGAAACCCATCAACACCTTGTAATCGGCCAACCCACAGAAATGTACTTCAAAGAAAAAACAAGCGACATCAGTCAGAAATAGACTCCCACCTTCTGCTCCAACTCCTACCAGAAGCAGCAGAACATGGAGCCAGTGGAGCTGTGCTGAAGTGCACAGAAAGTTAGGGAGAGGGAGGAACCAGAAAGTCTAAAATTAATACTGAAACAAACCACCGGCAGGTCCTGAACTTGGAACTATTTTCAGATTGAATATGTGTTCTCTAACTCAACCACACTTCTGAGCTAACAGAGCACATTTTATCAGGGAAAGAGCTCTCAGGTGTTGCTTCTACCCGCCTGTAATATCATGAGCATATGAAAATGAGAGATATTTTTGGCTTTGCACAAAGACCCTGGCTGGTAGGATCAGCCCTGGCCAGAAACAAAGCCCAGAAATAGTGTTCTTGGAAAACAGGTGAACAAATCCATCCTGTTTTGCTTTCCAGTTGTTTCCCTGGTTTCAAAGATCTACAGACTAAAGTGGGATATGGAAAATAAAAGTCCTCCGTCTGGATTACACTGCTCTGTGCTTGTTTGGACAAAGAAAAGCCACAAATGTGACTGATGTCAGTGGCTGGCAGGATCTGTCAGTGCCTCCTGCTTGATCCCTCACTTGCTCCCTTGTACTCATGGTGGCATGAGGCAGTGCCTGGTTGCAGAAGGTCTTGTCAAGTACCTGAAGACCTTTATTTTCTCTGGATATTGTGCCCCTACTCAGATACATTTGGCCTCACAGCCACAGGCTTTGGCATTAGGGAAAAGAGTAACAGATTCACGATCACATTTCTTGGCAGCTAAACCTGAACCTCAGTCACAAGTGCCTGTAGATTGTTTTGTACTTATTGGGGTTCTCATCCCATTTCACTGGGACTTGCAGAAAACAGTAAAAGCTGGTTGTCCCAAGCAGCCTCGCTCCATGACATTATGTAAACTTTTCATGGAAGAGCTGACCTTTGAGGTACCTAAAATTACAAGAGTGGAAGCTCTACCAATCCATCCCATTTCCTTTGTTGGTTTTTCCTGCCATGAGATAGGTTTGGCATTTCAGGCCCCGTCACTTTGGTATCCAGCAGAAAGACCCGTTCCTGGGTAGGAGAGCACTCCCGTGAGCGCGTGGCTCTTTCCCTGACTGCCCTCCTGTCTCGTGCAGCTCTGACGGCGGCGGCGGGGCGCGGGAAGCTGGAGGTGTGCCGGCTGCTGCTGGAGCAGGGCGCCGCCGTGGCGCAGCCCAACCGCCGCGGGGTCGTGCCGCTCTTCAGCGCCGTCAGGCAGGGCCACTGGCAGGTCAGTGCGGTCCTCTCTGGTGCTGGGTCGTGCCATCCCTTCTGTCTTGCTGGGGTAGGCATGGAGAAGACAACCCCCAGCTCTTTTGGGGAATGGTCAGAGCAAAAAGGAGTGATGCTGGTTCTTCTGTCACCCCAAGCTCTGGCTGGCCGCAGACAGCTTTGCTTAAGTGCTGTGTTATAGAATCATGGAATAGCAATCATCTGATCATCTAATTCCATCCCCCTCCTATGGGCAGGGATACTGTCCACTATCCCAGGTTTCTCCAAGCCCCATCCAGCCTGGCCTTGAACAGTTCCAGGGATGGAGCAGCCACAGCTTCTCTGGTTATCTCACCATTTGAGAAGCAAATGGGATGCTCATGACTTACATGAACATTTTTCCTGTCCTTATATCTTCCTTCATTTTCATAATCCTTAATCATCCCTCCAGCAATCCTAGAGGCCACCATGCCTGTAGGGGTGGGAGTTTTCTAGAATGTGGGGTCCCTTCATTTTCATAATCCTTAATCATCCCTCCAGCAATCCCCGAGGCCACCATGCCTGTAGGGGTGGGCTTTTTCTAGAACGTGGGGTCTGTTCTGCTTTTCCTTGGCTCTGGCATCTTCTCAGCTGTGTCTCCAGGTGTAACCTGAGTCCCTGAGTCCTGGCTTTGTGTGCTGCAGATCGTGGACCTCCTGCTGACACACGGTGCTGATGTGAACATGGCAGACAAGCAGGGCCGGACGCCGCTGATGATGGCCGCGTCCGAGGGACACCTGGGCACTGTGGAGTTCCTGCTTGCACAAGGTTAGAGCACGTGCTGGGGACCAGCTGTGGTACGTCCCACCACACCAGCTCCAGCTTCATCCTGAGCAAAATTTGGGATTGGGTCAGCTCAGGATCATCTGGAGGGGCTTTGCCACAGCTTCAGGATGGTTCCTGGGTACAGCATGGGCAGCGTCAGAAAAGAACTGGCAATGTGTTGAGGTGCTGGAGCATGTCCAAAGAAGAAAACAGAGGTGGGGAAGGGTCTGGAGCACAATAAGTGGCTGAGGGAGCTGAGAGCAGCTCAGCCAGTAGTAAAGGAGGCTCAGGGGAGACCTTCTGGCTCTGCACAGCTTCCTGGCAGGAGGGGGCAGCCAGATGGAGGTCAGGCTCTGCTCCCAGGGAATAAGGGACTAGAGGAAAAAGCCAGGTTGCTCTAGAGGAGGGATAAAAGGGTTGTTCAGCCCTGGCACAGGCTGCTGAGGGCAGCTGTGGAACCCCCATCCCTGAAGAAATTTAAAGAATTTAAAGATGAGGCTCTTGGTGACATGGTTAGTGGAGGGCTTGGCAGTGCTGGTGGAACAGTTGGGTTCAATGATATTGAAGTCTTTTCCAACCTGGATGAGTCTCTGATTCTGCATTGTCCTCCCTTGCAGTCTGTGTCCCACCTTGGCATTCCTGATTGCTCTGGATGCCATTTGCCTCCTCCCCCACTGACTGTTGAGAGCTCTGGCCAGAGGTTTCTGAACACACCTGGAGCAAACATTGCCATGCTGTGCTGCTCCACAAACAGTCTGTGCCAGCAGGGAGACCTCTTAGTCTGCTCTCAGCTGTGCAGACCAGGGATGTGTCAGCTGGGATGAACATGAGCGTTTAGGAAATTCACATCACTCCCACATTTGCTGAACATTCTAGAGGCAGGGAATCTCATGCTGGGAGGTTTAGAGTTTGCCTCTAGGAGAAAAGCACTGCAGCAGCAATTCATCCCAGCTGCTGGCGAGAGCATCCCGCAGCTAGCTGCAGCTCCTGGGAGGAGCAGAGTGATACAGATCATCTCTGCACTCTCCAGAGCCAGAGCCATGGCTGTGCCATGGCAACAGGAGTTGTCTTCATGCCATGAAGAGGAGTGTTCACTTAAAACTGCTGTTCAGCTCTCATATCCATATCCATATGCCGTGTGGAGCAACACTGACCCGTTGGTATGGCAGCGCCATTTCCTCATCCAAGAAAACGTCAAGTTCCTCCTCTCCTTGGCTTGCAGTTGGCAGTAGTGTATCCCACAACGTTGTATTTATATTGGGTAAAGTTCAGGAAGAAATACTGCTGGAAATTGTGTACTTTCGGGTAAAGGGGAGGGGAGTGAAGAAGGGAAAATATGTGCTTTTTTAGGAGAACTGAGCTGAATTGACTTAATTCCCCATGGTGACCTGCTGAAACAGCAAAATGGTCTTCATCTCTGACTCACACAGGCTGGAATGGGGTTGGATTAAGTTAAAAAATAAATAAAAAAGCTTTTACAAAGATGATGTCTCAGATGAGGGAAGTCAGATCTACCATGCTACTCAGATGTTTGCCAGGAAAGCCCGCAGAGGTAGGCGTGAAAAAGTTTGCAGCTTGGTGTGAATCAACTCATTTGCCACAGTTTTTTTTCCCATCAGGGTATTTGAAGTTGCCACAGAGGGTGGGATCTGTGGTGGCAGAAACGTTAATAAAGGAATTAATAATTATGTACAGAGCTCTCTGAAAACAAGCTGTCATTGCCGAGCAGAGTGTTTGCGGTAAACACTGCTAAACAATGGAGAGCTCTGAAATGAACGAATTGCTGCTCGTTCTTTCAGGTGCCTCCATTTCTCTGATGGACAAAGAGGGCTTGACAGCCCTCAGCTGGGCCTGCCTGAAGGGCCACCTGCCCGTGGTGCGTTCCCTGGTGGAGAACGGAGCTGCCACGGACCACGCGGACAAGAACGGCCGCACGCCGCTGGACCTGGCGGCGTTCTACGGCGATGCTGAGGTGGTGAGTGGCACTTGGTGTAAAAGCCATAAAATCACACAGTTCAGCTTGATGTAGCAATGAACACGTGTAGTAGTCCTGGCTCTCCGTATGGGAAGGTGCTTCCACAGAAGCTGATCCGAGAATCCCGGAATGGTTTGAGTTGGAAGGGATCTTAAGGACCATCTCGTTCCACCCTGTGCCGTGGGCAGGGACACCTCCCACTATCTCAGGTTGCTCCAAGCCCTGTCCAACCTGGCCTTGAACATTTCAAGGGATGGGGAAGCCACAGCTTCTCTGGGCACCTTGTGCCAGGGCTTCACCACCACTGCAGGAAAGGATTTCTTCCTAATATCCAGTCAAAACCTACTTTTTTTCAATTGAAAGCCATTCCCCCTTGTTCTGTCATTCCAGACCCTTGTCCAAAGTCCCTCTCGAACCTTTTTAGAGCCCCTTTAGGCACTGGAAGAAGCTCTAAGCTATTCCTGGAGCCTTGCCTTTTGCAGGCTGAACAATCCCAGTTCTCCCAGCCTCCTTAACAGAGGTGTTCTAGCCTTTGGAGCATCTCCATGGCTTTCTCTGGGCTTGCTCCAACAGGTTGATGTCCTTCCTGTTCTTGAGACCCCAGAGCTGGATACAGCCCTCCAGAATGGGGTAGAGGGACAGAATTCCCTCACTCAAGCTGCTTCCCACAACGTACCCTCAGATGCCGTGGAGATGCTTTTAGCCCAGGCAGTGGAGAAGAGCAAGCTTCTGCTAATCCTACATCCCCAGCAGTGTGTGGGGGTCTCAGCCAAGAACAGAACTGACTGTTGGGCTTCTCATTGCAGGTTCAGTTCCTGGTGGACCATGGGGCCATGATCGAGCACGTTGACTACAGTGGGATGCGGCCCCTCGACAGAGCAGTGGGCTGCCGCAACACCTCGGTTGTCGTCACCCTCCTGAAGAAAGGAGCAAAGATAGGTAGGAACAGGGGGACACTGCCATCAGCTCTGTGCTCAGTCAGGACTCAAACAGTGGGGCTGGCATCCTAAAAAATACAAGTATAACCCAGAGGCAGCCTCAGCCCCAGCCGCTGCTTCACACTCCGAAAGCAGACGGTGAGCCAGGACTACTTGGTTCTCTTTAGTAAAAATGGGGACTTTATTTCTTTTCCTGTCGTATTACTTAGCAAAAGTTAATCAATAAACAACTGTTTCTTTGGCAAGGTCTTTCCTCTGGTAATGCTTTTTCTATCTTTACTAGTCTGAGTTGCCCAGTGTACTCTGTCCATGCCTTGCTGTGAGCTGCTGCGTTCACTTGCTCTGTGTATGCTTCCAGACCTCAGTGTACCTGCACTGCGCCACACAGCTGCTCACGTTACGTTTTCCTGTGAAAGGGGATTTTGCTGGTGCATTGGCTTCCTCGCTGCCTGCCTCTCACAGCTGCTTTTTTCCTTTCTTTTTTTTTTTTTTCACCTTCATCCATTTTTTTCCCCCCTCTCTCCTACAACTTCTTGTTTTCTCCTTTCTTTGAAGGTTGTCAGACGTTACCGAGTCGCCCACGAGGTATATCTCATTGCTGTCAGCATCAGCTTCGATCTGATAGCTTTGTTAGCCTTGCTTTCTCCTGTTTGATTTAGTCTGCATGCGTCCCCAACACCTCTAATCTTTTAATTTACCTCACCTTCAAATAATTTTTTTAATGACTGTTGCAGAGAATAACTTGAACTCAAAAACTAACCTCCTTCCTCAAAAACGTACTGAATCTACTTATAGAATATTGTTGACTTACTCTTCACCCACACTAATGAGCTGTCCTCAAATTTTTGCCACCCCTTCCCTCCCAGTATTAGTCCTTGAGATATGAGCTGGCTCTTCAGGGTGGCCCCTGTGCAGAGCCAGTGCCCCCAGCCCAAAGACGCCTTCGGCACCAGCAGTACTTACATACAGCCTTTCCTTTGTAATTGTTTCTGCCTTAATGGATTTTCTACTCTAGTCTTTCACATCTTGTGAAGCTGGAAATCACAATCCACTTAACCACAAGCCACCTATCAACAGTCAAACTGCAGATTCCCTAGTACACTTCCATAGATTTGAGTTTAGAAATGCTTTTATGTAACCGCTCTGATTTTTCCTTTAAATACAGTTTGTTTCCCCCATCTCAGCCTGTCCCATATTCAGCACTGCCCTCTTGTGGAAACTGCTCCATCCTTTCCCAGGCCACTGGGATTAACCTTAATGACTGCAAAGGAAAACCATTGCAAGGGGGATGACATTAATTTAGGTGTCAGAGGAATTGTCAGCTCAGTCCTTTGGAGCACTCTGCCCTTTGACCATGCCAAGTTGTTCTCTCCAGCAGAAATTCCCACCCCAGGGTATTTTTTTCCACCCAGCTTCCTACCACCCTTGCATTGTATGAGTTCTTTACCCATCATGCATCCTGTACACTACAGGTCCAGCAACTTGGGCAATGGCAACCTCCAAACCAGACATCATGATCATCCTGTTGAGCAAGCTGATGGAGGAGGGAGACATGTTTTATAAGGTGAGAAGGGTGGGTTTGGAACATGCAACAGATGCAACTTGCATCACTTGGTGTGAGGTTTTGACCATGTTAGGTCAGTGGTTGGTCCTTCCCAGCCTAAATGGTTCTTTGATCCTAATGCTGCTGCCTTAACCCCTGGCAAATAAAAGCTCCTACTCACAGCATTCCTTGTGTTCTAAACTGTTTGGTTTTGGTTAGTGGGGTTGGAGAAGAGGGGATTGATTGCCCAAATCTGTAACAAAGCTGAAGCAAAGCCAAGTTGTATTGGATTAGAGCCAGCACTTCATTTCTCTTTGAAAACAGCAGGACCTAAGTGTTTGTTGGGAGTGCTGCTGCCATTGCATCAGGGCTGGCAGCCTTGTCATTACCTAGTGGGCTCACTGTTGGGGATCAAGGCAGCAGGATAGAATACCCCAGAAAAACTCCCAGGTTAACTTCTTGCAATGAGAACAGATTGTCAGGACACAGCTGGCTTTGTCATGTCCTTTAGCCCATGGGAGACATTCCACTGTTACAGTTAGGTAGGTTTTTTTTGCTCTCTGTTTGTTTTAAGCCAGTCTTCAAAACCTGGGGATTTGCACACACATAGGAATGGTGCAAGTACAACAGTGATTCACTGTGAGGCTCTAAGGGTGAAGCAGAAAATACGCAAAGCTGGCATCGTAGTAGAAGTTATCTGCCAGAGATACATGATACAGCTGAGAAACCTGAGTCTACAGGTTTTTAAAAATCCTGTTTGTAGCTGCAAAATTTATGTCTGGGTCCTGAGGAACTGTGTGTGTCCTAGATCCCATCCTGCCCTCTTTCTCTCACCCTGCCTGTCAGCTGCCCCCCTTCAGGGTGCACGACATCCCATCCCAAAATTAGTTGCCCAAAATAGCAGAGATGAGTCACCTTTGAAGGTGACTGTTGCATACCAGTAATTATAAATGAAACCCACTTAACAGACTTAGATGTAGAGTTTTAAACATCTGAAGCCCAGGCAGGTGAATCTCACCCTGTTTGTCCAAGTTCAGAGTTATGGCAGTGCTGTAACATTTGTCTTTGCTATTGCAGAGGCTTCTCTTAGCTCCAGAGCTCCACCCAAAGTCCCACAATTTGCGTTCCTTACCCTCCTGGATGTGTATTAAGCTTTGGGTGGAGGGTGTTTTCCAGGAATGGGTAACTGATCACCCAGCTCAAAAGACCATCCAGCCAAGAGCCAGATGGAGTTGTATCGAGTTAACACCATTTCTCCACGTTTCCTGCTGTAGCGTGACAGCTCTGTATGAAGTGGGAGATCTCAACTTGTGCAAGGCATCTGCCTTTCCAGCTCAGATGTTCCCTTGATCAAATGTTCTGACCTTCTTTTCTAGGAAAGAGCTAAGTAGTGAAGTTGTGCTTCCTTAGCCACCTAAAACATTGGTTGGGCTGGTGAGTGAATTCTCTGCAGGGAGGTGCACTCAACCCAAGGATGAGTTTTGACATGTTTTCCTTCTAATAGAAAGGTAAAGTGAAAGAGGCTGCCCAGCGCTACCAGTATGCTCTGAAAAAATTCCCCAGAGAAGGGTTTGGAGAAGACCTGAAAACCTTCCGTGAGCTGAAGGTGTCGCTGCTTCTCAACCTGTCCCGGTGTCGGAGGAAAATGAATGTAAGTGTCCCCTCTTTTCATGGCAAACCCTCTGCAGACATGTCCACTCCTAATCGTGCTTTGGCCTCTGGGATCTCTCCTCTCTGTAACCTGGTTGTCCTTCACAGAGCACTGACATTTTATAATTCCAAAGCAGTAGTGGTTTAGTGTGTGTTTCAGATGATTAAAAATTCATTGCTGTCTTTATAGCTCTTTGAATTTTTTATTACTCCCCTTTGATGATGATGTTCACATCGTCACATGGGGGTGGAGGCATTTTCCAGATTTCTGGGGCAGCAGTGAGGAGGAGCCAGGAGATGTGCTCCTTTGAATACTAATTAATTTCAAATGAAGGAGCATATGCTTAGGGGGTTAGCACTTCCCCAGGGCAGTGACTCATCCAGAAACACCTCCACAAGACTCCTTCTGGGCCCAGAACTTCCAGATCCCTGTCACTCTCCCCACTGCAATCTGGCAGCATCCAGCAACCAGCTCATGCAGATGCCTGTTCTGCCCCCCTTCCCTGACTTGGAGTACAGGGACTTTCATTTCCACAAATTAAAGTCCCCATAAACTCAAAAAGTGACATAACTGAGGTCATGAGGTCAGCAAAGGTTACACTGGAGGGGAAGAAGCTTTTGTGACACCTTCTTTTTTTTTTTTTTTCCTGTGAGGAAGAAAGATGGAAAATAAGGGGAGTAAAATCTTAATGCTGGTGAACAAACACAGTTTGGAGAAAAAGTGTAAAGTTCTTTTTTAATCAGCCAATTCACAGCTAATCAACTCCAGGATAAGATTTTTGGTTTATCATTAACTGGGGAATGCCAGGTTTTGTGATAGAAAATTTTAGAGGGTTGTAATTGCTCCTGCAGTTTTTGCACCTATAGATGAGGCCATAAAGATACCTGTCTCATGACTGCATTCCCAGTTCAGTTGGTTGGACAGTAACTCCTCAGTAACTGCTACTGCAGGTACAAACAGAAGTGTAAGGTTCTCCAGGCAGGGCATGCCCATAGCAAGAGTTGGCATCACAAGTATTTGAACAAATCAGGAGCAGCACTATTCAGTCCTCTCTCCCAGAGCTGCTCAGGTCATAGCCCAATCCAAAGCAGTGTTTGGCTGTGAAATGGAATCCTCCCCACTGGGAGGAGTTCTCCTTCACAAGTGCTGAGCTTAGCAGGACGTGCAGCACTCAGAACAAGGCAGGGGAGGGTGGTGACAGGATCTGAACCAGGGCTGCTAATCTGGTCTCATGGCACTGCCCCTGGAAAGCACCCAGAGCTGTCCCATCCCACTCTGCCACCCTCTCCCTGCTCCCAAACTATCCTCCCAGGTGAGCTGTCGTGGAGAAGTGAGGAACAGTGGGATTGATGGGAGACCTTTGCCAGGCAAGTCCTCTTGGCACCTAATGCAGCTCTGTCCTTCACAGGCAATTTTCTTCAGCTCCTTGAAGAATGTCAGTGTGTTCAGGGAAGCAGAAGGGTGTGGGAAAGGTTTCCTATTGCTTTGAGCTATGGAAAAAAATCATTCATGAGATAACATTCCAGCCTCTGCAAGACCAGATGTTTCCTCAAGACTGTAGGTTGTTGGAGAGGCATTTACATGCACGTGTTGGGGACACAGTGAGGCTTGCTGGCCTCTGTGGGTGATGACAACAACTTGGGTTGACAACACCTGAGTCTTTGGAAAGGCCGTCATAGCTCCCTGTCTGTAAATTATGTTGAATCCATGTAAAATATTCCAAAACCATCAAGTTTTCCGTGCAGTATGAAAGCCCATACTAAGTTTGTTTTCTTCCATGCTGTATGTATTTTTATCTCTGAATTTATTCAGTTGCTTACCTGCACACCTATTCAAATGACAGGATTTTGGAATGGCGGAGGAATTCGCCACTAAAGCACTGGAGCTGAAACCGAAGTCTTACGAAGCTTACTATGCAAGAGCAAGGGCCAAACGCAGCAGCAGGTGAGCAGGGGCAGAGAGGAGGGTGTGAGGGGCCAGTCTCTGCCAGCCTGTCACATCAAGAGTGGGCACCCACGCTGCAGAGCCAGGCAGTGCCCCCACGGGAAGAAATGGCCAAGGAACGTTCATTAGTGAGATCGCAAACGTGCTGAGCTCCAAAGTAATGCCCTCCCTCATCTGGTGATTTCTGAGTCCAGATGTTTTGGGAGGTTTGTCTTAGCGGAACTTTGTCTGGACATCTTACAACACTGGAGACCTGTGCACCAAAGTGGGGTGTTCTTTTTCAAAGTACACTTTAATTTGACCACAACTTGGATTCAAAGCAGAATATGATTCATGGTCTGTGTTATACAAGAGGCAAGACTCATTCACCACAGTGGTCTCCTGTAGCCTTAAAATCTGTGCATTTCTGAATTTCCTGAAGCCCTTTCTGCTCAGCACATGCTGCTGACCAGCTGGGCAGTGGCTGCAGGCAGGCACTGCCCAGGGAGCCTCCAGCCAGAACTTGTGCCCAGGGCACTGCAACCAGCTCCTGGAGAGCTGCAGCACAGGGATCTCCCTTGTTCACCTGCCTCCCTGAAGACTAAAAGATGTGAGATTAGATCCATTTGCCATTCCTAATGAGCAGCAGGGCTGCTTGGGAGTCCTGTTCTCAAGGACTGGGCACCCTGCCACTGCATCTCTGTTGAATTGGCAGCCAGAATGTCTCACATAGCAGTGCAGGTATGTGAGCCCCTCTGTGCAAACGTCCCAGCTCAGCAAGCACCACCAGTGTGTGACATTCCATGCTGGAGGCAAGTGTGGCAAGCTGATACAGGTCCTGACGTGGGAAGTGAAGCCATAACCTCCTGTTCCACAGAGGAGCCCTGCAAGCTGAGCTGTGCACACACCTAATGCCTTTCCTTTAATGATTTCCTCACCATTGTTCCCAAAACATTAAGAGGAACCTTAAGACCCATGTTCCTTTTCAGATGATATCAGCCTCCCACATACCAGTGTCCTTTTCTCCCCTGGACACTCCCAACAGAAACTGTCACCACTTTGGCTTTACTTCTTCCTGTCCCAGCCTGTGCCCAGCATCACCCCTGGGGTAACACAGCTGGTGGGAGAGGAGGCCTTTCCTTATTGCTGATCTTCAATGGCCTGTACAGAAGATTAAGCTGATGTTGGGAGGTGCTGGGGGGGATCACAGATGGGAGCTTTTTCCCCGTCTGGGTGGGTTTTCCCAGATCACAGTCACGTTCAAACACATAGTTTTGCTCCAGAGTGAACAGTGTCCCTGTAAATGACAACCCCCTTCCCAATCCCCCACCTCCTTGTTACAACTCCTAGGTTGTCCTTTCCCTCACAAAGGCTTCCCTGGGCTCACAGCCTCTGGCACATTGCTTGATTGCTTCATTCCAAAGAAGTTAGCCAAAATCCACTGCAAAATTGGAGAGACAAGCCTTGCGCAGAGCGCTGACCTGTGGGAGCCCCTGAGCTCTGGAGCCAGGCCTGACGCTGTGTGGTCTTGGCATCAGGCAGGAGTTAAATTTTCACTGGCGTGCGTGGTTGTAGCTCTGTCAGAGCTTGTTTACAGCACTTGTGAGCTGGACTTGTGGTGATCAATGTGTTGGTGTCCCCTTCACTAAAACAGAGGTGAAGCTCGTGGTGATGCTAGGGGGAGTAATTAATAAGCCCCTAACGTAAGCTGCAGAGGCAGGCGTGTTTGCTAGTCTGGGTTGTGCCGTCTAAGGACTGTGTTCCCTTCTTCTCCAGAATTTTTCCTCTGTTTGGATAATGTAAATCCAAGGGAGGCCCATAAGGCAGCACGTGAGAGGTGCAGCAAGCAGTAGCAATCACAGCTCCCTCCCTCAGTAACATGCACAAGCCATTTTATTCCCCGGGAATCTCTGAAAAGAGCTCCATCCAAATCCAAAGTACTTTCAGTTCTCATTTCTGTTCCTTTGTCAAGCAGGCAGTTTTCAGCAGCCCTGGAGGACCTGAACGAGGCCATCAAGCTGTGTCCTAACAACCGTGAGATCCAGCGGCTGCTGATGCGGGTGGAGGAGGAGTGCAGGCAGGTGCAGCAGCAGCAGCAGCAGCAGCAGCAGCAACAGCAGCAGCAGCAGCAGCAGCAGCAGCAGCAGCAGCAGCAGCAGCCATCACCTCCACTCCCAGTGGAGCCAGAACCCGAAGCCCAGCATGAAGAGCTGTATTCTGTGCAAGATATCTTTGAGGAGGAATACCTCGAGCAGGATGTAGAAAATATTTCCATTGGCTTACAGACAGAGTCCAGGCCAAACCAAGGGCTGCCCATCATCCAGAGCCCACCCCCATCTCCAGCTCACAGGGACTCAGCCTATATTTCTGGCTCACCACTTGGCTCTCATCAGGTCTTTGATTTCAGGTCCAACAGCTCCGTGGGTTCACCAACCAGGCAGGGGTACCAGTCCACATCTCCTGCTCTGTCTCCAACACACCAAAACTCACATTACAGACCCAGTCCTCCACACACATCCCCAGCTCACCAGGGCTCCACTTACCGCTTCAGCCCCCCTCCCGTGGGAAGCCAGGGCAAGGAGTATCAGAGCCCACCGCCGTCTCCCCTCCGCAGAGGCCCCCAGTACCGTGCCAGTCCCCCTGCAGAGAGCATGAGCGTTTACAGGTCCCAGTCCGGCTCCCCGGTCCGTTACCAGCAGGAGCCCAGCGGGGTCTCCCAGCTCCCCGGCAGACCCAAGTCTCCGCTCTCCAAGATGACGCAGAGATCCTTCCAGATGCCCCAGCTCCCCGTGGCCGTGCCGCAGCCGGGGCTGAGGCTGCAGCCAGCCAAGGCACAGATCGTGAGGAGCAATCAGCCCAGCTCCGCCGTCCATTCCAGTACTGTCATCCCAACCGGTGCCTACAGCCAGGTTGCCCACTCGATGGCCAGCAAGTACCAGTCGTCATCAGGGGACATGGGGGTCAGCCAGAGCCGGCTGGTCTACCAGGGCTCCATCGGGGGCATCGTGGGTGACAGCAGGCCCGTGCAGCATGTGCAGGCGAGTCTCAGCGCCGGAGCCATCTGTCAGCACGGAGGGCTGGCCAAAGAAGACCTTCCACAGAGACCATCCTCAGCTTACAGAGGGGGGATGAGATACAGCCAGACACCTCAGATTGGGCGAAGCCAGTCCGCCTCCTACTATCCGGTGTGCCACTCAAAACTTGACCTGGAGCGTTCTTCCATACCCGCCAACCAGCTGGGCTCTCCAGATGTGTCTCACCTCATAAGAAGGCCCATCACAGTCAATCCCAGCGAAATCAAGCCTCACCCACCGACTCCACGGCCTCTACTCCACTCTCAGAGCGTTGGCCTCCGCTTCTCCCCTTCCAGCAATAGCATCTCCTCCACATCCAACCTGACTCCCAACTTTCGCCCCTCTGCTTCGATTCAGCAAATGGAGATTCCCCTCAAGCCAGCCTACGACAGATCGTGCGATGAGCTGTCTCCAGTGTCACCCACGCAGGGGGGCTACCCCAGCGAGCCGGCCCGTTCCCGGACCACGCCGTTCATGGGAATCATAGATAAAACTGCTCGGACTCAGCAGTACCCCCACCTCCATCAGCAGAACCGGACCTGGGCTGTGTCGTCAGTGGACACTGTCATTAGTCCCACGTCTCCTGGCAATCTGCCCCAGCCGGAATCCTTTAGCCCGCCCTCTTCAATCAGCAACATTGCCTTTTATAACAAAACCAACAATGCACAGAATGGCCATTTGCTAGAGGAAGACTATTACAGCCCCCATGGGATGCTGGCCAATGGGTCCCGGGGAGACCTCCTGGAGAGAGTCACCCAAGCCTCCTCATACCCCGACGTCAAGGTGGCAAGGACGCTGCCCGTGGCGCAGGCCTACCAGGATAACCTGTACAGGCAGCTCTCCAGGGACTCCAGGCAAGGGCAGACGTCCCCAATCAAACCAAAGAGACCATTTGTGGAGTCTAATGTGTAAAAGACACTTGTTGGAGTGAGACCCTCATGTTTTCAGCACACACTTCCAAGCTTGATTTCCATGCATACTATTATAATTATTATTATTACTATTATTATTTTTATTTCTCTTTGATAGCTACATGATCAAGTTTCTCCGGTACTTTATGTGGTGGTCAGACAGCCATGCACGTGCTCCAGCCCTTTTGTTCCCCAGCTGACTGTGAAGCCAACATCAGCCGAGCCAGTATCATTTGCCCAATTCCAGCAAAATTCCAACCAGGATATCTTAGTCCATGGTGTGGGGTGGTCCAGAGATATCCCTACGCAGCAGGAGGTAACCAGCTCTTTTTCAAGAGACAATTGCCTTGGATTTAAATTGGTTTCTTTTCTCTCAATGATCTCTTACTCAACTCTGATGGGAATTCCTAGGGAATTCCACAGGAGCCTTTCCCAAGGCTGCATCCACAGGTCCCTGTGCCAGCCAGGCTGTTTGGCTCTTTGCCCCAAAGAGTGGATTACCCTCAGTGATGTGATTTAACACCAGTAGCTATGCACAGCACCCACAATACCTGTTCTGATTCTGCTGGCTTACAGCACTTTCCTTCCTTATTTAACTTGTCACTGGCCAGAAGGGGTTGGGATCACACAGCACTTTGCTGCTTTCCAAGTACCTACCAGGTGCCCTCACACTGATTTCTTTGCTCTGGGGCATTTTACAAGCATTGAAGGTGTAAGGTTGGCCCTTTGTTATGTGTTTTAATCAGCCAAGGGAATTGGCCAGGAATCTCTTGTGCATGAACTGGGGTTGCACTAACTTCTTCACACTGTTGGCAGACTTCACCTCACCCACAGCATTTGCACGGGGCAAGTCAGTGTTGGGGACTTCATCTTGGGGGGGATTTATCACTTGCAAGGAAGAGCAAAAATCTGACTTAGGAAATGGTATTCAAAGAGGAAAATTGCAATTCTGAATTTTTTTTTTTTACATTTTTTTATGATGAGGATGTAGAACATGGCATGATGGTCCCAAAAGAGGAAGGGTCCTTCTACAGTCCCAGGCCTGCAGCATCCTTTCCCTCTGGCTCAATCCTGCCAGGGATCAGGGGCTGTAGCAAGTTCTGTGCTCCTCTTAAGATCCTCTGTTCCCAAAATCCTGGAAAGGGACACCGTGTTCCATATCTGTACATGGTAGAGACCATGTATTGCTTTTTGAGAAGCTGTAGTTCAGAGAGACCTATTTATAATTTATTTATGTTATGTATTTCAGGACATTTTCCAGTTCAGGTTGGGTTTTTTCTATTATTTTCAGTTTTGTAATCAAATGCAAGTCACATCAAGACAACATGAAAAGCAGGGGCCGGTTCCAAAATCCTTGTTATAGGATTTTCAAACATTTTCTCAATTATTTGCTGAAAATTTCTTTTGAGGTGGGGGGAAGAACTTCCCTTACCAATTCCTTTATTCCTGGTGGGTTTGTAATCTGCCTTTTGCGTTCTGAGGGTGAAGGGTGGGATGATGGGAGGGAGAGTGATAACGCTGTAGCTTGTTTTAAAGCAAACTAGTGCCTGTTGCCCAATGCCAAACCTCACTCATATCAACTCTTGGGAGCAATTCAGTGCAGAGCAGGGGAGTGATACCTCCAAAGGGCTACTGAGAATCGATTGCAAGACTTCTTGAACCAAATCACGGGCTCCAGCCTCCGCTGGTGTGAGTGAGCATATCCCAGCACCACATCACTGCAGCTGCACCCTTTCACACCAGCTCAGGACAGGGTCTGGAACTCTTGAAGCAAACCCTGGCTTTGATGGGGCATTTTTTCTTTTTCCTGTGTGTGGCTCAGCACATCTCATTGCTACTTCGTTGCCTAACTTGCTCAGAGCAAGCTGGGACATGCACACCTTGGGCCAGGGGAGGCTTGTGTCTCATAGGCACATGGAGAGCATTTGGAAGGGGGGGTTCCTCTGAGTTTTGGCAGTTTTGGGGCACCCCAGGGGCTGTTTGGTCTTTGTCAAAGCCAGTATTTGGATTGAGGTTGGTGTTTTCTTCCTTGAGGTACAACCCATTGCTGACTCTGCTTTATCCCAGGGCTCTGTAAAATGGGGGGCTGGCTGGGACCCCTTCAATGGGGTGGGTACCCCATGGGGACACCCAGGTCTGTGCATAGTTTCTCTCCTTGCAAATGGGGTGTGATGGCTTTCTTTCTTCCTTTCATTTCTGAAATAACATGCTCTGTATTGTAAGGAATAACTGCTTTCTCCTCCACATCCCACATGCCCATAGCTGGGGAGACATACCCTGGGTCTGGAGCAGCATCAGTCACTTTGCTTAGTGCCTCCCATCCTCCAGCTTTCTGCCTGAGTGAGTGGCTTCCTACCTTTAGTTTCTTCTTTGAAAGGAAAAAGTTCAGCCCTGTCCCTGTGTGACACCCGGCCGATGCTCCTCTCCCTGGCAGCAGCGAGCTCCAGGGCCAGTGACAGGAGAACTGCCCATGCTCTGCTTTGGCCACTCACTGCCTTGTGCTCCCAGTCCTGTCCTTCAGAGCATCCCCCCCGCAGCACTCCTGTGTGTAACTTTCCAGTTTCTGAAGATGTTTTAAGGGAAAAACAAAACAGCTCACGCTTTTAACACAACCACAAAGCTGAAGGAGGCTTGAAACACTGCAGCATGCAGGTTTTTTCACGATTCCACGTGTTACATTTTCCACAGGATTCTTGCACTAATGGTTTTCCATCTGTTCTCTCTGTACATGGGTGCACTTTACTGTTTGAATTTGTTACTATGATAAATACTGGATATTTAAGCGTGAGTAGTGTCTTCATTAGAAAAATAGCAAAACAGCTCATGTCTCTTAGTGTATTTTTCAAAAAAAGAGAAAAGAAATGAAGCAATGAATCATAACATTTATAGCACAAGAACTGACTTCTGTATATAAGCATCAACAGATTGAGTAATTTTTGAATACAGAATTATTTGCAGTGGTTTTAAAGCACTTGCCCGGCAATTCTCTTAGGGACAATTGAGGCAGGATGGCTGCTGTGGTCACCAGGTGGGTAAGAAGCACATTTCCTCCTGGAAAAGCTGTTCTTGCTCAGTCCCCCACATTCCCACCAAAGTCATGATTTGGTCTTTGCATGAGGAGAAGCAGAGGTAGTTCTGTGTTGTGCTGGCATGGCCCCTTTGTGCTTGGGGGAGCACAAGGTCAGATCTCACCCTGAGGGCCCTTCATCCTCTACTCTTAGATCTGGGTCTGACAAGATCAGGCCACACTGTGGGATCACGCTCAGTTTCAGACATGGAGCTGTCCTGTACATCTGTGCTATGTATTTAATTACTTTTTGAGTAATTAACATGCAGGTCAGTGCTGTCAGCTGGTGCCTTCATGCCCTCCTGACTGCAGTGGTACCACTGGCAAGCCCCATCTTCAAGCAAGCAGGATTTTGGGTCCACCAAGTAAAGCAGGTTCTTGATGACATTGAAACTCCAGTTTTCATTCTTGGGGTACATGCGGAAGGCAGTGCCAAAAGTGATGCTGAAGCTGACCCCTTTCTTTAGCCAACCTTCCCACCAGGTGTCTCATCCTCACCTGTGGCTGCTCTGAGACCCAGGTGTGCTGCCACAGAGCTGGAATCTTCTCTCCCAGCATCAGGTGTGGATGTCTGCCCTATCCCTCAGTGGGGGTTCATTGTCTCTCACTTTTCTCCCAGGTCAGGAGAATGCTGCAGTTCCCGGGGAGTGGACACCCACGTGGTGGGAGGCTCTGCAGGGTCCCACCAGCCAGGCTGGGAGTGGCATCAGAGGGCTTTGGACATAGTCTTGAGTGGGCATCAAAGTGCTTAGGAAAAGGAGGCTTTTACAAAGACAGGTCCTTTGAGATCCGTCTCCAAAGGAGGTACAGCCTGAGCTGCCTTCTCTGTGTCACTGTTTGGGAGGACTGTGATGGTTCCAACAATCTGAGACGTGTGTCTGTCCATCTGTCTGTCTGCTGTGGCACCAGTGCCCAGCTCAGTCTGTCTGAACACTGAACTTTTTGGTTATTTTTCTTTAACCTGGCTGTGAAGAAAACCGCGTGGCTGGTGTGAACGTGTGAGCGTGCGTATGCCAAACACTGGAGTCATGCTGGGATTAGGTCTGGAACCAGGGTGGGTAGTAAACTGCGAGCAGTTCAGTCTCCTTTACTAAGGTTGCTGTATATTCAGGGTTACCCAGGAGAAGTCTAGCTAAAACCGAAGTGCCAGCTCTGCCTTATCTAGAGAACCAAGCAAGCCAGCGTGCCTGCTCGTCCTCCGCCTTCCTCGCCTGCGGGGGTCCATAGTGCGCTGCCGTGAGCTCCTTGGTGGTTGTACTTTGCTGTACTCTTGGGAATTCAAGGTAACTCTTCTACTGGTTTATCAGCCTTTACCCAAGGGCTTAGGGAAAGAGCTGCTGTACCTGCTGGGACCTCTGCAAATCAAAGCCTTCCCCCCATGCCGGCTGCACTTCGCAGGCTGGTGGAGGGTGTGTTGGACACAAAGCACAATGGTTGAAAGTGAATCTGCGTTTTTTTCAGCTTTATGTGAATAATTGCTGGATTTTCATTCAATCAAACTCTTTTTTCTAATATAAACCACTAAGGGCTCAATTCTTTAGCAAGATGCATTCGTGTCCAACTCTTGACTCTACAGCTGGATCTCACCAAACTGGTACAGACCGACCCAAGAGGTCACAGCGAGCGCGGCCGTCACGGGGAAAGCCAACAGACACCCAACCCAGCAGCCGTGTCCTTCCTCCTGCTCCTTTTCTAGCTGTCACGGTACTGGGGAGTCAGCAGCCAAGTCCCATCTGATGGGATCACATCCTGTGGTTGTGAAAACAGAGGGCTGCTTTGCTAAAAGACTTCGTCCCTTTGGGTGATGCTGTCCAGGGACGGCGGTGGGGAGGCAAGTCGGGGTCGGAATGGGTAGGTGGGAAAGCCTCGTGCCCATAGAGCTGGGTCCCCACAGGGCTGCCTCGCTGTGCACTGCTCAGCCAGCTACTGAGAGCAGCACTGTGTGCTACATAAAGTCCATTGTGTTGCTACACTGATAAGCCAGAGACTCGTGTGGACTCTGCCAGTACTGCCGGGCTCATCCCTGTCCAGCCTTTTCTTTGCCATAGTGTTGCGTTCAGCGTTCCATCTCCTTTCTGTCTTCACATCCGAGAGGATCTGAGTTGGGTACAAACACGTCCACTACACCTGCCTTGTGCTTTGTACAACTCCCTGGTTGCCATCCTCTGAGACACTTGCTGGGAAGATCTTTAAGACACTTAAATTTTCCTTTAGCTTTTCTATAATTCAGATGTAAAGGACTTTCTCTCTGTACAGTATATTATCCAATGCATGTTCTGTTCTCTCTGATATATTGAACACCACACAGTTGTGATATTGTGCAGTGGGAAGAGCAGCCCCTGCCAACAGCAGAGGCCTTCGCCTCTCATCTCTAAGGAAAGAAGAAAACATATTTTTTCCTTTGCTGTATTTGCTTGAGCAGAGTTTTCTTGTCTGTACATGTGAGCTGTGAGATAGATGTGAAAAGTTCAAAAGAATGCATTCCCCCCCCCAATGTATACAGATTGTAATCTGTACAATGAAAACTGTATGTATGAAAAAATGTACCTATTTATAAATGGTTAACACTTGGAAATGGTGTCTGGGCTGCTGTTTTTCCCACACTGGGGCCAGTGAAGGAGTGTTCTGATGCTTCTTGGTGTGGAAATGATGGTGTGAGAGTTGGGTTTCACAGTCACTGCATTGGGGTGGGGACAGAGGCCTGGGAACCACCAGGAGCGGGAGGAAACAGAGGCAGCACTAGTGCTGCCACAGCAAAAGGCATGTAATAATATAGTGGATAATAATTACAACACCCAGTGCATGGCCAGAGCCTGGAGATGTGCCCATGGGGACCCTCACACAGCTACCACTGAGGTCTGCAGGCTGGACAGGACAATCCCACCCCTGACGCCCACCCACCCTCCCCAGCCCCTCAGGCTCCTTTCCCAGCTGCCCTTGGCGTGTGGGAACTCGAGCATACCCCAAAACTGATCTGGGGGGAGCAGAGTCAGGAGGAGGACAGGGTTAGCTGCAAACATTTATTAGGTCAGGAGCATCCACTGAGCAAACACATCATGCGTGGGGAGAAAACAATTCAGACACGAAACCGCTGAACTGCACAGGCACAGGGTCACTCCGAACCCCCAGAGACCTTTAGGGGAGCATCCCTGCACGTGGCCATGCTGAGGGTGAGGGGCTGCCAGTGAGTGGGACATCCCAGTGGTGGCAAACATCCCCTCTGCCCATCAGCACTGGGAACAGCCTGTAGGCTTTGGCCCACGGTGCAGAAATCTCTGCTCCCACTCCGTCCCCAGAGCAGGGAAGAGGAAGAGCCTGGAGACCCCTCTCCTTTGTGCCCCTGCCAGCCCCTGCCCTGCCCATTCCCACAGCACTGCCATTCCCACAGGGCTGGGACAGGTTCAGGGGTCACCAAGGCCTGAACAGGGCAGAGCTTTGGATGATTAAGGCCAAGCCAAGCTGAGTCCAGCGGGCAGCATTGCACCAAGCATGTCCTTCCCCAGCTGTCCTCGTCACCCTGGGCTGGGCAGAGATGCACACCACCAGGGACAAGGTGCACAGGAACATTTCAGACATTACAAGGAGCTCATGCTGGAGACCAGGAGCTGCAGATGTCACTGGCTGCCACCACCAGGGCTCTCTCCCTCTGTCAGGGTCTTGAAGTCCATGGACAGGGCCAGCTCCTCTGCCAGTGGTGGGCGCTTCCACTCGTCCCGTGTCAGCACGTAGCCCACCACCAGCCCAAAGGCCACCAGCAGCACTCCCAGGGTGTTGGCCAGGATGCCCTCAGGCACAAAGTGGCTGTAGGAATCACTGCAGGGATGGAGAGGGATGCTCAAGCCTTAAGGGAGGGGTGACCTGTTCCTATCCTGGCTGGGACCTCCTCCTCATGCTCATCCTTCAGGCACACACCATGGGAAAGGTCCCTTCCCCAAATCGGAGCAAGAGAGGAGTGTGGGTGTTTTGCTCACTTTTGGGAGAGACACTTGGTGACAGCAGATTAAACTGATGGCACAGTCCTGTACTGGGGCTATAGGCAGCCCAGTACCCTCCCTGCTGGAGGGAAGTGGCTCCTGGGGTGCCCCACAACCCTGTCCCCACAGGGCTGGGGGTGACCCCAGTGTGCAGCTGGGGTCATCACTGTCTCCTCCAGCTGCAAGAGCAGAGGTCTCAAGGACATGAGTCCCTGAGTGTTTCTGCAAACACCTGGACACAGGGAAGTGGCACTGGACGTTTTATCCACATTCCCAAAGAAAGCTGTTGAGGATCCAGCCCCTTGTTAAACTTCATCTGGTAAATGACTCAGCAGCAGCAGAAATAAAGGCCTCAAGGGAGATTTAAGAGCCACAGATTGAGCAGGGACAGGAGCATCCCTCTGCTGAGGTCTGGGGGGCCACCCTCTCACCCCAGTTCAGTCACCCACCTGATGTTGAAGAGGAGCATCTCAGTAATGCCCAACAAGCATGAGGTGATGGAGAGGATGAAGAGAGTGATGCCAAAGAAGATGTGCTGGGGCTTGTACCACCCTCTCAGTGAGAAGGAAGAACCAGGAAACAGAAAGAAACCACAGCCCAGGAGCCACTGTGGGGACACAGGGATGTCACAAGTGCTGCAGAGCCCCTTCCCTGCCGGGGGGGGCAGGGGCTTCCCACCCCTCACCTGCAGGAGGTAGAGCACGAAGGTGGCCATGCCACACCAGGAGTGCAGGCTGTACATGTCAGGGATGCCCTTAGCCCGGTGTGACTCGAAGACAGCGATGATGCCTGCGGAGAAGAGCCCGTCACCACCAGGGCAGCATCCTGCCCAGTCCACGGCTCCCAGCCCAGCCCAGCCCAGCCCAGCCCAGCACTCACCCACGAGGGCGATGACCAGGGCCAGGCCATGGAGCAAGGCGTGCAGAGCCTTGGTGGAGCGCTTGGCTTCGTGCCTGAACACCCGGTACACCAGGAGAGCTGCACAGAGAGGGCACCTGAGCATCCGCAGGGCTCACCCAGCACTGCCCAGGGATGCTGGTGCACCTTCCCCGCGTCTTTTTGTCGCCACTTTGTCCCCTTCATTCCCTGCCCGACCGCAGCTCCAGGCTTTGGAGGCTGCAGCTGGCACAGGGCGCGTGTCCCACCGTTCTGCTCACCGTCACCTTGGAGGAACACCATACCCAGCACCATGCACAGGGGGTGGGCGTTGAACTGGAGGGGGCTGTGCCAGGCCACGCCGCCCCGGTAGCGGCCCAGCCAGGCCCCTGTGGTGGCCAGGAGCGTCAGGCCCAGCAGCTGCGACACGGCCACGTACGCCGAGAGCCCGCTGGGGCTGGTGGGCGGCGGGGCCCCGTCCATGGCAGCCTGCGGGGACACAGAGGAGGGGGCGGCGAAGCCACGGTGGCCCCAAGCCACAGCAGGTCCCGGCTGGCCGAACCTGGGCTAAGGTCCGGCTCCGAGCAGCGTCGCCTCTGCTCCACCCTCACCTGCCACGGAGCCGGACGCTTCCTGGTGTCGCTGCGTCACCCACACCTGGAGGTGGCTCCCAGGCGCCACGGCACACCCATGCCCTGCTCCTGCACCTCCTGTCCGATCCTTCTGTCCCTGCCTGCCTGCTCCTGTCCTTCTTGCCAACCCTCCTGCCCCTGCCTGTGCCCTGCGTGCCCCATTCCTCCTGCCCCAGCCCTCCTGCAACAACCGTCTCTCCGTCCATACCCCTCCATCCCTGTCCTTCTGTGCCTGTCCCTGCCTCCATCCTTTTCATCCCCATCCCTCCAACACTGTCCCTCCATCCCCATCCCTTCATCCCCATCCCTCCCACTCCATGCTCATCCCATGTCCCACCTTCACCCCCTCCCCAGCCCACCCACCCCCAGACCCCCACAACAACCCCCAAACCCTGAGAGGAAGGAGGTGCAGGGGTAAGCAAGGGACGCCCTCCATGGTAAAAGCAATGGCCCTTGGGGACACGGGGCTGAGTGAACATCTGTGCTGGCGGGGGGGACAAACACATGGTGTTACCCAACCACAGCTACACCACAGACCCTTCCCACGGCCCCCACAACTCACCTGCTCTGTGCTTTGTGCTGGGTTATCCCTCAATGGATCGGAGCTCTGTCACAGCCACTTCTCCTCTTTTCTGGCACCTAGAGCCAGCAGGTCCTAGTCCCCAGGTCCAATGTCCCCCCTCTGCCCTGGCCCCTGTGCTCAGCCTCTGGGGAGGAGCCCCTTGCCAGCTGTGGCAGACGGACCCACGATGCTGCCAGGACTGGGGGAGTGTGGAGAGGGGTAATGCATTAAGACCACGCACACACTTTATTCCCAGCCACCTTTATTGGATCAGCCAGATAAGTGAGTTAAGGGAATTGGTTTATCCCATTAAGTTGCACTGCAAAGGCTGCCTGTGTCCAGCCTCTCTGCCTGGGGCCATGGGGTGCTCTGTGGGATGAGCAGGGGGACCAGGCTGGGGGGAGACAGTGAGAGGCACCGGCTCCCCCCATATCACAACAGCCTCCCCCAAACTCTCATCACACTGAGGGGCTGCTGGCGCATCTGGGAGGTGCAGAGGGGGACCCATGTAGCCCTGTCCTGCCCTTCCACCAGATGCAAACATCTGGCTCTGCTGGCAGTCACACAGGGCAAACACAGTCCCCAACAGCACTGAGGATGGAGGGACAGGCAATGAACACCCCCAGCCACAGGGCCTGGCAGCAGGATATTCATTAGCCACCACTGAGTGCAGGGAAAACTGGAGGTGACTGGACCCCTTCCAGGACCTGCCTGTTCCCCTCCCAACCTCTCTCTCCCCTGCAGTGCCAAGCACATCCACAGTTCCCCCTTCCCAGGGCAAATCCAGTGCTCCTTACTTTTGGCAGGGTGTTTTCTCTGGTTAATCTGGTTAATCTGGTTAACCCACGTGCCCTGGGCAGGATGAGCCTTCCACAGTCTGGCCCCCCCTCACTGTGGCCTCTGGCTGGGAGTCTCCAAAATGCCGGGGGGGTCTCACAGGGCCTGTCTCTGCTCCCGATGCTCCTGCAGGGGAGGGGATTCTCTCCAGTTCATAGCTGAGGAGGGTCTGAGGGGCATACTGGAGGGGTTGAAGGCAGATACCCACACATCTCCCCCGCGTTCCCCAGCCCTACCTGTGTGTGCCGGGCGCTGCCGCCTGTGCCGGGCCCAGCGGTGACAGTGTGTGAGCAGGGACAGGGCCACCGCGTTGGCACGGCAACGCAGCGATGACAAAGCGAGGGGGAGCTGCACCCCAGCACGGCTGCAGAGGCAGCAGAGGCAGGGGGGCTGCGAAACTGGCAGGGGGATCACCAGCACGTGGGGGCCGTGTGTTCTGGGGACAGTCCCCGAGGAGGTGGCTCGCTAACAGGGTGTGTGACACCCCCATTGCCGAGCTGTTCCAGGCACCCGCCTGAGACCCGGCTCCCAGCCCCAAACAGGCCGGGCTGCACCAGGCCCTACCGGCTTGGCCCAAGGACTGTCCCCTTCACAGGGGCTTTGTCACCGTTTAATTTGTGTTTGGGCCTTGCTGGCTCATCCCTGCAGCCAGCAGCAGCCCTGGAGTGACATCCTGGGAA